GAGAAAGATGTGGCAGTCTGCTTCTGTAAAGATTTACAGCCTTGGAAACCCTATGAGGCAGTTCTACTCTGTCCTATAGGGTCACTATGAGTTAGAATCAACTAGACAGCAAGGAGGGTTTTTATATATATCCTGGGTCCAATTCTGTTGTACATGGGGTTGCCATCAGTCGGGTGCCAACTCTATGGCAGCTAACGACAACAACGTATATATTCTGAAATTTGATGTGAATTTTAAATTAAAAAACTATGGCACTTTAATTTGAAAAAGCATATATGCACTGTCATTCAACACAGTTTTGATGCTATTCCATAGGCAGAAAGTAGTTTCATTCATTCAATATTCAAAAGAGGATTTTTAATAAAAATAAGGAGATCCTAGCAGAAGTGGTATCACCCCAAATGGATAGAGCTGACTGAGGCTTTCTATGAACCCTTGGGTGAGGGAGGCATTAATAGCCTATAAACATTCGATTTAGTCATTCCCAGCACAGTGTCTGTGGGTGGTGTTGAGATAATGGAGACAGGCCCCCATGGGCTTCCCTTCAAGATCAATCTAGAGAATAAACAAGAATAGCAACTATATTCTAACCTCATAGCTACCACAGTCCTAACCTGGTAGGCTAGAGAAATTCCACTGCTCTTTAAAAGCCCTGTGTTTTTCATCTGAAAATGGAAACAGAAACCAAGTCCTCTTGGTGGACTTGTCCAATAGTGGATTGGAAGGAGCATTGCTGGAGTCCCAGTGGCTGAAAGTTTCTGTGAGTAGCGAAGACAAGCTTCCACCAGTGGGGCCTGAGTGGCCAGAGTAATCTGGTGCTATGACTCAAAATGGGGCAATGGTGCTTCAGTGACAGAATTCTCACCTCCCACGTGGGAGACTTGGGTTCAATTCCCAGCCAATGTACCTGAAGTGCAGCCACCACCCATCTGTCAGTGGAGGCTTTCACACTGCTATGATGCTGAACAGGTTTCAGCTGAGCTTCCAGACTAAGACAGACTGGGAAAAAAGACCTGGCAATCTACTTCTGAAAAAAATCAGCCAGTGAAAACCTATGGATCACAATAGTCCCATCCCGTTATGCATGGGGTCACCATGAGTCAGGGACTAACTTGATAACCGCTAACAACAATACCAAAAAACCAAAAATCAAACCCTTTGCTGTCGAGTCGATTCTGACTCATAGCTACCCTATAGGACAGAGTAGAACTACTCCATAGGGTTTCCAAGGAGCGGCTGGTGGATTTGAACTGCAGACCTTTTGGTTAGCAGCTGAACTCTTAACCACTACACCACCAGCGTTTCCACTAACAACAATCACATGACTCAAAATAACAACTACCAGTCACAAGATACCAGTTACCAAAGCCAAACAGGGGTAAGGATAGCCTCTCTGGACAGCTCTCTGGTTCTTCTATTAGGGATTGGCATCCAAAGAAAGACACTTGCCTTTTTTAAAGGATGATTTAGCTTCTCTCTAATATATCAACCATGACTTTGGCCTTCATTTTTGACCCTTCCTGTAGCTGGGTCCGTTCACACAATTGTGTTCAATTATTTTGATGGCTCAACTTGTTCACCAGGACAGCTGTAATGTGTCTGGCAATGCTTTCACTGATAATCTAATTTGATTTGTTCCTCTCACCCACCCTGAGAGATAGGTGAGGGCATAGATTCCAACTAAATTAACTGGCTGGCAACAGGATAATTAGTCATAATGTTTGAACTGGCTTATTATTGCCTGCTCACACATTCACAATGGAAGCAATTTTCTTAAGTACACGTTCAAGGCAAATGAGGGTCACCTGGTATGGATGTAGCTGTTGAGAGTTAGCTGAGCCTCATCTTGAAGAGCTGCGATGGCGGCAGCATTCCGGAAACTTCTCAATTCAGAACCACTGTGTGTAGGAACTAGAAATGAAGACCAGGAAGTTATAATATGCAGTGCAGGGAATGCAGGTGGGGAAAGCACCTCTCTGGAAGTGGATGGCCAGCCAGGAGACATTGCAGATCCCCACAGGTATTGAAAACAGGGCCTGACTAGCCGTGTCAGCTCCCTTGAAAACCATCACCTCCTTCTGCAAGAGCCAGTCTGGACTTTGAGTTGGCTGAATTAGTGAAGTGGCAAAACTGGAGAAGGGGAAGAGACAGGGGTTTGTGTCTGCTTACCAGCTTTGAAAGTGACGATGCATTTTAGACAGGCAAATTCAGTAGCATCTAAGCGGAGTTGTCTAAATCGAGCCACCACCTCTTGTAAAGCCTGTATTTCAGATATGATCTTGTTCAGCTTCTGGGAATCTGTGTTGTCACCATTCATGCCTAGAATAAAAATATGGAATAAATGCTCTAATAAGGAGGCATTTTCATGATATAATATTGATTTTTGACAAAATCCTGCATATCAATATCTATTCAATTGTCACTCTAAGATATCTGATTCCATGTAAACTGGCTATATTGTATGAAAGTTAATATAAAATCTTCTCTTGGATGATAACAAACACAGTAATTTGCATTTAAATAACAATGCAAGCAGTCATGAATGCAACAAAACAACATTATTTGCATTTAAATATAGATTTATAAATGACAGGTATACTCTATTGTTCGGCAGGAATTTGTTATTCTTTACATGTTGTTCTTTTTTCAGTAATGTATTTTTATGGTAATTTCTACAACAAAGTCATTAAATTGTGCAATTCTTACCAGATACAGCCAGCAGAGTGTTAGCATCAACCGGAATGGCCCATTGTGCTATTCCTAGAACAAACAGTTCTCTCCAAGCATCTTCCAAAAGCATCAGCTGTCATACAATAGATGTATAATATAATATAGTGTGTAATTTATAAATTTATAAACAATTTCAGTATGTAAATTTCCATTATTTTAAAAAGTGTTTTAAATGTCTTAGTAAAAAAAAAAAATCTGAATATTCTAGCTTTCCCTTTATCTTTTTGAAAAGGTGCCTATAGATAAACACATGCATTTGAGAATCAGCTATTCCAATTCCCCAAAGTTGCTTCTCTCAAGAAAGGGTTTACCCCTCTTGTCCTTGTATCCACTCATTCCTGACCACCTAGAAACCTCACGAGACCCAGGCTCTATGAAATGCCACCAGCAGTGCAGCAGGGTGACCCCCTCATAAAATGCTGATGTTATCAGGGTGGAGGATTCCTGACTAAGCCTGCAGATCTGGACCCCCATCTTCCCGGAGGGCTGTTGGTGTTGGGCTGGGAGAGCGATCACTAATTCCCAAGAGGCGTGGGGCGGGGGAGGGTTGGAAATCAGGGTGTAATTATGTTAATCGGGTTTTGCTGAGTTTACCTCATCTCCCTGCCTGATTTTTCTGAGAATCATAAGTGGACAGCATCAAGGTGCTTGTCATTTTCATTCTAATAAAATGTGCTATTGAATATTTAAAATAAAAATCTGGTTCGTTTTCCCACTTCACTGCAGTTTGCATGTTGAAGGGGTTCCACTAAAGGACTAAGTGGCAGACAGCAAGTAAATTTTTGTGTGGATTAAAGAGTCTACAGATACTTGTTTTAAGAAAAAAAAATAGTCAATTTATAAACACACACACTCACATACATACAACAAATGGTTAAAATCAACCAGTAAATCTGGTCACAGATAGGACCTAACCACCTTTAAAAATCTCTGTTTTTGAAAAATCCTTCAAAAAATAATGAGACTAGTTCCAAAACTCCCATAGGAGAATATGCTCATCACCTCATATTTTGAAAAATCCTTTAGAAATCAGCCAATTCTGGATAATCTATGTGAAAGGATTTTGTTTTGGGAGTTAAGAGCTGAATTGTGAAGGCTTGTAGCCGAAATTACAATTAGACCAAAAGGTTTAATTTTCAAAAATTTTTATTTTTAAGTTTTTTTACATTAAGTACAGGAAATGATACTTTTAAAATTCAAAGTAGAAAATGTATCTAACTCTGGCCATGTCTGAAAGTCCAGGCCATGAAAAAAAGAATATCTCATGCTAGAAGATTGAATGTTTTTAGCACATTGCCAGGTTTCTCTGTAGGAAATGTACTTCAGACTAAGGGGCATTATTACGCCTTAATTAGGTATGAAATGAATTAAAGAAACAAATCCTTTGCTTTTAGAACTGCTTATCAGCCTTTTGTAGAATTTGTCATTAATTTCGTGAATGCACTGATAACAGCCAATGGTTGTGAGCACTTCATTTTCTTTCTTTCCTTTAAGGTTAGAAAAATGCTGGTAGGGGCCATTTCTGATATTCCTAACAACAAAATTTCTGGGTTTTGGTATGATGCAATTTTTAACAGCCCATACTTTTCCTCCCTCTGGGTGTTGTTTGGGACCACAGAATTATGCAAAATGTCTATTTGTTTACAAAATTTCTAAAAGCACTTAAAGAATCAAAAAAGATCCTAGCTCACAGCGCAGGAGGTTGGCAATGCACCCTTTGATCCTACAAGCTGATAAATCCATGGCCAAAACTGTGAGTATCAAGATGGAAACTATAAAGCTGTAAACAGAAAATAATGAGACTAGTTCCAAAAATCTCACAAGAGAATACTCTCATCATCTGATATTTTTTTTCTCAGTTCTGATGCTCTTAAGAAAGCATTGCTTTATCAACAATTTAAAAATTTATTAAGATACAATTTTATCTGAGATTAAATTTGATGGTTCAATTATATAATGTTTCTGTACATTTGCTTTTTGTAGACCAGATTCAACTTTCCTGAAACAAGATAATTACATTTCTTACTAAGGATTCCATAGCTATACATTTTGAACCCTAGAAAGAGGCTGGTAAAAATAGTTTCTTCATTGCCATTAAGAACTGATGCCTGGCCCTGTTGATTTTTATCCAGGTAACATCCAGTTTTATAGGACTGATTACTGTTGTTTTTTCCCAAGTGCCCCTCCCCAAGACCTGAGTGTCCTCTTGATCGTACCTGATCTTGCAAAGACAGCGTTGAGAAAGCTGGCACACTTTTGGCCCACTTGATACTCATGAAGAGAAGCCTGGCAGCTGATTCACACACAGACTCCGTAGCCACCTCATAGAGATACATTGGGGTCCCATTCACTTCATGGGGATACTGGGAGGTGGAAAAAAAGACACCTGGAACTGAGGGAACTACAGCTTTGCCAAAAAAGCCAACCTTTTAATTTTCTAATTTGAACAAAGAAGGAAACAAAAAGGAATTCCGACGTTCTGTTTAAATGTGCAGTTTGCCATAGGTGGGTAAAAACCAAACATCTGTATCTATATAGCTTGAGAAATAAAAATGGTTGGGAGAGTCCCATTTCCACTCTTTGGGGGCCTGTTCCTTCCAGAAGGGTAAGAGGGGCGTCTGGATTTCCTATCCCCTGCAGCAAATTTTCCTCAGGCTGAGCCAAGTGCCAGGACTGGCTCCCAATTTAGACAAGAACTGCTTGTATTTGTGTAAATAAAAATAGATGTGAAAAAAGTATAAATTAATAGGCATCCCAAACACAAATATGCATATGAGTATTTTTAGAAAGGATTAGTATATTATGGAAATATTTCAATTAGACATCTTAATCATTCACAGAGCATTCCCATTCATAACTGACAACATATTCATAACACTACTTTCCCGAGCTTATTATACACATCAAGGGTAAGAAAGCAATATTAAATATTGTGTGTGTGCATGTGCCCAGGTGTTTGGCTTCCCTGCAGTGTGGGGCTGCAGCTGGCCCTCCTCTGGGGGAGATCCTAGGCCCTTCTCACTCGCCTGGAGGTGGGGAGGGTTGGGTGGGTGAAAGCAGGAGGCTGGAGGGCAGTCCCTAGGTGGCAGCCTTTTGAGGTGGTTCAGGCTGTGGCCCCGACATTAGGGGCTCAATCCAGGTGTAAACCCAAGTGGCCCAGGAGAGAGTGAGGGGCGAGTGGAAATCAAGCCAGGTCCTTCAAACTCCTCTAACAGTGTGAGTGCCACATTCCTCTCTTGCATTAGGGACCCACAGCTTTGCTAAAGATAATAGATCCCTACCATTTGCAGCCAAGGGTCCTTCAGGCCAGTGGTGGTCAGCTCTTTTCTTCTAAAAACATAAGCCTGTTCTTCTGGCCCCCAGGAACACCTAAGGCTGCTCTCTTGGGTTAGACAGGGCTCCACCAGCCACCCAATCACCCAAGGGTGTTTTCTAAAGTTGTAGGTTCTTGGGCCCCGCTTCAAACTTGCTGAAAGAGGATTTCTGAGGGGCGGGCTCAGGAGCCCACACGTGTAGCCAGTTGAGGGAGTGACTTCCCCGCACCCTGGCTTTACAGGGGGGAGCAGGAGTCCTAGAGCGCCCTGCAGAGCCCAGAGCACCCGGCAAGGCCACTCCAGCTTTTACTGGACACTATCCCAGCTCCGAGCAAGTAGGTGAGCCCCTCTCCTCCCTCTGCTTGGCATGAGTTTCCTTGGGTCCAGCAAGCCCACTGACCTTGGGCGTGGGCTGAGCCAGGCTCACGAGGGTCGGCCGCTCAGGCGTCGTGGAGACTGCGGCCAGCTCCAGGCCGTGCGGTTCCAGCTGTGTGACCGCGGTGAAGAAGGCCGGTGCCGGCAGCGCGGCCGAGGGGAAGTGCGCGGCCGCCCCATTCTCCTCCTTGTGTCCGCGGAAGTAGAGGGCCACTTGTTTGCGGATGGTGGAAGTCCGAGGCCCCCGCTCGTGCTGTACGGCTGCAAAGACAGACGGACAAATGCGCGACCGGGATCGGATAAGCAGTGACAGCCGCAGCCGCGAAGGAGAGAAACGTCAAGGCGGAAGGCGCTCTGAAAAGGTTTGACGCCTACATGAATGGATGAGGAAGCTGAGATCAAGAAGACCTCGTGCCCAACGTCCCACGATAATGGCCGAGCCACAAGCAAGACTAGATGTCTTCTGTGTCCGTCCAGGGCTCCTCCCCATCCAGGGGAGCCACAGGGAAACCAGAGACTCTCTGGACTCGTGTAGCTCCGAAACCCTCGTCCCCTTGTCTCCATTGAAGGGTAGAGGAAGCGTTGCACACAACCAGGCCCAAAGTCTCTGCACCAACTTTTCCTGCTCCGCCCAAGGGTGACTTCTGCCCTCCCCCCGCCCCGCCCCGCCCCGGCCTGGCAAAATGTCCTTTGGCCACCGAGGGCCCTAGCAGAGAAGGACCCGAGCCCCGGGGACGCTGGGAGAAGGGACGAGGGAGAGCCCTTCTCCCAGTGTGCTGAAGGAAGGCGGGGGAAATGTGACAATTACTACCAACAGTTTAAACAAACACATTAATTCAGGACAATCTTCCGCTCGCCGAGCTTGACAACTTGTCAATACACAAGTTCAACAGGTTGGCCGCTTCCTCCTGCTTCTTGGGCGCAGAGGAAGGCGCTCTCGGCTTGGGCGCTGTGCACCGTGGAGCAGCCACCGGCAGCCAGGCACTGCCGCCGATGCAAAGCCCACCCGCATCCAATTGGGAGGGAGACCCCATCAGCCCTCCCGGCCCATGACCCACCCACCTCCACTGCCCCGGCATGGGGCACCCTCACCAGGCCGCGACAGGAGACGCAGCAGGGACTGCGGGCGCGTCATGACTTCCTAGCTCTTGCTTCGCACGTTTAAGAGCCTCCTGGAGCTGGGTGTCCGAGGCACGCACAGGCTTCACCCAGCCTCCTCAACCCCCTCTCTCTCCTTTCCGTAGAATCCAGGAGAGGCTCTAGATTTTGGCCTCTTGGTGAATTTGCGAGGGTTTGAAATTCTGAGTTTCCGTGTCTGTTTTCCCCTCCCCCAAAACACTGTCTCCCAACCCTCACAATCCCCTCCCGAGGAGACTGTTCAGACTGTGAGATCCTGCGGGGAGTCTACACAGGCTTAGAGGTGCCACGAAGGACTGCAAGGGGAGGCGAGAAGAGGGATTAGGACGTGAGACAGGAAATACTGCGCACTCCCCCCACAGGAGTGGGGTCCCCAGGAGCGCTGCCTTCGCAAGGGTGGCTGTGGTTCCCTATGTGGGCATGGGCCTTGCAGTTGGGAGTTCAAGGTGGTCGGGAGGGGATTCATGCAGAGAGGAAGGATACGACTGACAGCCCGAGGCCAATTCCCAGCATCTGGAAAGAAGTGCTCGAGAGATGATTTACATGCATAGGAGTGCTATGTATTTTCTGTACATATAATTTACTTACTACTCAATCAACATTAGAAGAATAAAGGGATGTACTGATTACCATCTTTGTTCATGTTGACTTCCAAACACTTCTTCAGCCGACACGCCCTGCACTGGTTTCTGTGAGTCTTATCCACGGGGCAGCCTCCCTGGAACAGAGCGCAGGCGGTCAGCGGCCCCCTGGGCCTTTGGGCTGGGGACTCCCAGCCCGCGCCGCGCCAGGTCGTGGGAAACGGCTTGCCAGCGGGATCCGGCCGGCAGCAGACCCCGGAGTGGCTATCCTGAGCCCGCGAAACGCGAGGTCCTTGGGGCACGGCAGGGTCAGCTAGAGAAGGAGCTGGGGCTCCCGGGGCTACTTCAAGAGAGCTATTCCCCCGCCTTATAAAAGCAAATAGGAAGGGAAAACTCCAAGCAGGTGAATGGTCAGAGCGCCAGGTCCGACTGGGCTGGGACGAGAAGCTCTGGACGGGAACTTCCGCCATTCGCAAAGGTGGGGTGGGGGGAGGGGTCGATACTTTTCAGGACCGAAGACAGCGACCTGGCCACAGAGGAGGAGGCCCTGAGCTGTGTTGGGAGCGGGCTTGCCTATCAGGATGCTCTCCCCCGGACCCCAACTTCTCTTTCCGCTTTTGAGTCTGGAGTCTACCTTTTCTGTCACTTTCTGGGCGAGCCTACTTTTCTGCCAGGCTTCCTCTGATTTATTTTTCGCTCCCCTGTTCCCTCACTTCTGTCTTAAAGACTAGCCTCAGCCCAGATTCATGAAAACACAACCATTCCCTGAAGGTGAAGCAGAAGCCAGAGTGGTTAGGAGGACAGACCTCCAGAGGAGAGGGTGGGAAGGGAAGAACCCGAGGCCCACAATACAAATATGACCAGAAAGATAACGTGATGGACTGTCAATGAAATGACACTGAGAATATGTACTGAGAGTATCAGCACCATTACTGAAAAAAGGTAACCACTGACTTAGAAATACTTACCTGAGAGGCATGAGATATGTTTTACCTAATGCAATTTTGTGGAAAAACATTGGCCATTAAAGAGGAAATGTATAGAAAAATTTTCTTCAAAATTTCAGTGTGAGGTGTCATTACCAAGGGAAGATAGACATAAATACAAAGAGTCATACACGCATTTGTAGTTTGTACACAGAAATGCATAAGCAGTTTAGTGGTTTCCTGCTTGTGTTTATATAAGTTGCTACATTATATACATCTGGAATAGGAAGAAAGAGAATAGAATAAATTTATTTTTATATTGCTTCACAATCTCAAAAATTCCCATACACTAAAGTTGGGGTAAGTAGATTTTCTTTCTTTCTTTCCTTTTTAAAAAAATATCCCTTGAGGGAGGGGGAAACTACACATTAGAATGCAGTTTTTTCAGACCACACCTCCAATTTAAAACATGTTGACTTGTTTAAAACAAAGGAAGGGCAGAGATTCACATAAAAAAATTTATAAACGTCCTAATTATTGTTCATAATAAATGAGAATATTATTTACCTAATTTTAGAATAAAAGAGAGAAAGGAAACAATTTTTGGTCCCTACGTGAATTCTTCAGGGCTTCTTCAAAGGCCAGTGCAATAGCTCAATGTAAAGAGGTTTAAAGGATTTTTTATTATTATTAAATGTAATCATTTGTCTATCCCCAAATAGTATCTTCTCTGAACTTTGATAAACATACTAATGCAAAATGGAAGTCTTCATCAGTTCTTAAGTGTATCTTCAAACCAGATTAAATGAATGTAAGTATCTGGAGTCTGAGAGAGAGAAAGATAAATGTCTCAGCCTGGTCCATTTATTTTCTCTGCAAGGAGAGGAACACCAGGCCTGATGAGTCTATTATCACTTCTTTATAAGTACTTGGACTGACATCAACACGTGGAATTGATAGCCATCTCCTTTTATCAAGTATAACATCTGAGATTTTGATTCACCAAGTTTGTGCATTGCATAAATGCAGGAGACTCAGTTAAATATCATTTGAGTAGCAGTTTGCTCAAATCTGATGACCCATAGTAAGCTCACATTCCTGTGGAGCTATTGGGTAGTCCTGTGCGTATATAATGTGATGTGTCCATATTGTGAAGCTGTACATCCATACAAAACTGTGTACTCAGTTAAACAGGTGGAGAGCTGGGAAGTTCAAAATAACTTGCCCAAATGCAAACATCTTCTTGTTTTTGTTGTTAATACAAATCTATCAGAGATTGATACAAACAGATATGGCTTTCGAAAAAGATATCAGAATAATTCACTAGCACCAGACAATGTGTGTGTGTGTGTGTGTGTGTGTGTGACAGAGAGAGAGAGAAAGAAAGATACATTAATTAGTGGAAAGTGTTTTACCATCTGATTATCAAAGGACAATTTCTAACTAATGTACTCGCTGGGATGTTCTTGAAAGTAAAGGTGGAGGCCTCTATGCCAAAGGTCTATGTCCCTGGCTAAGGGGAGAGCAAAGTGTGGGGGCCCAAAGGCTGGTTTCCCAGGTTGGAGTAATCGTATAACTGAGCTGGAAACTAAGTCAGGGTGTTCTGCTTGCTCTTTCTAGAAGCTTTGGATCACACGCAGCCTGTGCCCTGACTCTCTCATCTCTTTGAGGCAGTTCTGCCTACTCAAGACTAAAAGACAACCAGGAACATCTTCTAAGCAGATTGGGTGGAGAGAAGTATGGCAACTTTGGGGAGAGACCCGTTTGCACCTTGCTTGGGAGGCTTCTCTTCTTACTCACCTTGCCCTTTTCCGACAAGGCCCAGTAAAGGCCACATGGGTAGGAAGCTCTATGACCCACTCTGGTTCTCCAGAGTTGAAACAGCATAGCCCATCACAGAACATGCCCTCTCTGTTCCAAGTGGCCAACACTCATGTTGGGTCTCAGATAAGGGTGGTAGCGACCTTGACTTAGATCCCCCTCCCCCTTCCTTATTTCTGCCATCCCAGACGTTGGTCAGGGGACTGGGCTTTGATGCTGCCAGGAATGGGGGTGGGGAGGCAACAGAACATAGCCCTTTCTCCTGTTGCTACATGTGGTCTCAATTCTAAAACTCTTTAGGCCTCATGGCCCTGCTTTATAGCCACTGGGTATGGGCCTCACCCAGTGTCAAAATCTGTCAGAGGATTTAAAAAGAGGGTGTAGGGAGGTGCTGGAATTTCAGACTTCCTCCTGTAAACTGTCTTTCCTTACCTGTTCCCGCCTTTCCCAAGCAAAAGGGCCCCGGAGAGTTGAGGTAGGATGAAGGGGAGGCAGGGGACATCAGGGCCGAGTCTCCTCCTCAGCACGTGGAAACTCAGAGAATTCTTTGGCACAAGGGGGAGGAGGTGGCAGAGGAGAACCGGGCCATGCAGCTCTGGCTAAGGTACCTGGTTTCCAGATTTGCAGACATAGGTCCGATTCCTTCGGATACTCCGTTTGAAAAACCCGGAACAGCCGTCACAGGCGTAGACTCCGTAGTGTTTCCCGGAGCTGCGGTCACCACACACTTTACAGGGGATATCTAAAATGCGGCCTGAAATTGCAGGAAAGAGAAAGGGGGGGCGGGGGGGGGGAAGGGAGAGAGAGAAAAAAGGGCGGAGGCGAGGGAGGAAAGGAGAGAGGGAGAGAGAGATGCTAAGCAATCTGACCTCTGAAGGGATTAGCATTGAAGCTGCGGTAAAAGCAAATAATGAAGTGATTTTATAGCCAAACTTTTTTTCCTTGAGCAAGTGTCAGTTTCCTACAATGAGCATTATTCATGCACCGCTACATGTATTTGGGTCTCCTCTAATCGCCGAGACCCATTTTGGAATAAAAGATTACAGCAGGCCCGGGCGGCAGCACGGCCCGCCGCTGCCTTTCTGCTCAGCGGAAAGTTTGGCCGCCTCCCTCCCCCGTTCTTGCATTTAATAGAGAAAGTTGTTAGTGAGCGCGCAAGGAGAAAAACTTGAAATGTAAAAGGGAAAAGAAGAAAAACAAACACGGCTGGAACCGGGGATGGCAGCTGGAAGGCAATCGAATTTTCTCTGAGCTCCGCCGGCCGGTTGTTATTATTAGGATTATTATTGTAATGCAAATACTCATATTATTAATGATAATAAGGGTAGTGGTAATTGCCCAACTTTCGCTTTACCTACCTTTAAAAAAGAAAAAGCTTAGTTTTTGATAAATGATTTCTTTTAGGGAAAATCTCCAAAATACCTAGCACCGGAACGGGCAAGAGAGAAGAGGGCGATGCAAGTGTGTTGATTCCCTGACACGTTAGCGTAGGACAGCGACCCCTCTACCCTCCACTCCCCGAGTTTGCTCCCTACTAAACCTGCTTCCTAACTCTAGGTCCTGGTGTTATTGAAAAATCGGCCACACCACCTCTTCCCCCTGTTCTCCCTCCGCTGCCAAGGCCTGATTTTTTTTTTTTTTTTTAATCTTCTTCAGGCTATACCGCCCCCCTCCTCCGACGGTCGCCCAGCTCAAGAGAACTTTGCTTGGAATCCCCTGAAGCCAACAAGCCTGGGGTGGCCGCGAACCCTAGAGGAATACTAGGGTGGGAGTAAAATACCGACATTCAGCGAGGAGAGAATTATTTTTCTCTAAGGTTCAAGCGTCCAACAAGTGCCTGGGGAGGCTCATAAGGGCGGAGAAATTCTTCCTCCCGCAAACAAAGGGGGCCATTAGATAAAGTGTTAGCTTAATGATTTCTTTTCCTTGAGCAACCCGCCAGACGGTCTCCGAGTGGCCGAGGGGACTGCGATTAGGCTGGGATGTAGCGAGGCAACGGTGAGAACCACTGGGCTAGGGGTTGCCAGGGCGCGGTGAGCAGAGGCCCCGGAGGCGTCGAAGGTGGTAAGCGGCTCCCGGATTCCGAAGCGTCGGGTCGGACGTGCACCTACAGCGTGGTTGGCGCGGCTTAGGTTGGTGGGTGGGATGGGGGGAGGGAAAGCGCGGGCGGCCGGGTAGGGTGGGGTGGGGGTCGGTAACGAACAGGCTCGGCCCGGGTAATTACAACCCTGCCGCAGCACCTGCCTATAGAGCCACCAGTGACCCGTCAAAAAGAGTAGCATGGGAATTCGGACGGCGACAAAGGCCGGCGGGGGAGGCGCGCGGCGCGGCGGCCACCGCCTGGGCGCCCCCTCTCCCTCAGGGAGGGAAAGGAGGTGGCGCTGGGGGAAGGGAGGGCTGGAGAGAGCCCGGCGAGGCCCTGGCGGGCCTTGTCCTGCACTCCCTCGGGCCTGTCACTGCGCCCGAGGGAACCCGCGGCCGCTCCGGAGCCGGGGGCGCGAGCTCTGCTGCCAGGCGCGAGCTCTGCAAGCGGCAAACTTGGTTTCCATGATTTGCTGCCATCCTCCTCTGCATAACGCACGCTCTCTGGTCTTGCTCGGGTCCAAGTTTCGAGCCCTAATACTGTCACCCCATCTGTCCTCCACTTCTCTGTGACACTTTTGATGACGCCAAGATGAGCACGAGGGAGAAGTAATGATGGAGTTTCTTTTCCTGGCTTCTCATCGGGCCAGGAGGCCAAGGATACACACCTCTGCAGGACCCAAGTGGGGGGTGGAGGGAGCATCAGCCGGGGATAGGAGGCCCTCCGCAGACTCCCGGAGCCGGCTCCTCGACGGCCGCCTCCTCCTCCCATCCTCCTCCCCACCCTCCACCCCGCACCAGGTCGCTGAGGCTACAGATCTGCCTTTTTTTCTGCCCAGACCTCGGATCCGCGGCCCCTGGGCAGATTTGAAACAGGCCACCAGGCTCGGACGGGGCATAGTAGGGAAGGACGCGAAAATGCCGGGCCATAGTGGGTCTGCTCCTCAGACTTCTCCACCTGGCTACGTTAAGGTGACTTGGGGTCACGAGACAAGCTAGTTGACCCCGTTGCAAAGGTTCCTTCATTTAGCAAGACTAGCGAGCTCTGACGTGAGCCGAGCGGCAGCTTCCTGAGGCTAGAAAACCGTTCTTAACTTCCCTCGCCAGGGGGTCCCCTGGGGGCTTTTTGTGTGTCATAATTGCCTAAAGATATATGGCAGCTTCGATTACTGTAATTACCATCAGAGACTGTTGAAAGAAGTTAGTCGGGGCTTCAGGGGTGACTGGCCGGGTCTTGTTACCACCCAGGAGGGGCTCCCGGGTGACAAGGCTCTGCTCTCCAGCCGCGCCAAGCCGAGCGAGACGGGGGCGCAGCCCTGGAGCCTGGCCTAGCCTGACCCGGCCCGCTAGTCTCACCTCCTCCACCCGGGGCCCGAAGGTCCGAGGTTTGGGGCCCAGCTGCCGCCCCTGGTCTGAGAGGGCCTGGATCCAGCAGGGCCGTGGGCGGGAGCCGCTGTCCTGAGGGCAGGAGAAACCTCAGCAGCGGCGTCCAGACCTGCGCCGGTGCTGGAAGTTGCCAAGACCGAACTCTGGCTCTTAACGCAAGTCGGAAACCTCCAAGGTTTCCCCAATATGTCCGCTCTGCCTTTTCCCCTAAAAGTTCGGCGGGTCTGCCTGCGTCCTGGCCCCCGACGCGGGGGCTCGACCCCGGCGGGCCCAGGTTCGCGCCTGCCCCTTCCCTCGCCTCCAAGGCCCCATTTCAAGCCCCACCCCAGGGGCTCTGCACCCCTAATGGACGAAAGAACCCTAGACTCCTTACTTTCAGGAGAGGCGGCGAGGGCTTGCCCAGTCCGAGCAAGCCAGGAGGCCCGCCGAGGCCCCCGGGCGTGGCTTTCTGCAACCGAGGCTAGGAATGCAACAGGAAAGGCTCCCTTCCGCGCCTTCTGGGAAGGACACTCACATTCGGGAACGTGGGAAACAAAAAGCGAGCTCGCCTGGTTTCCCTGAGCTTCGATCCGTGAGGGTCAGGGTAGGCCCGAGGCTAACGCGAAACTCAAGGATTCGTTCTGCATTCGGCCCGAGGTTAACGTTCCTTCTTTCCTCCCTCTGCCCTAGCTATATATTTCTCTTTCTCTTTTTGTTCATGTTCATTTTGCTCTAATCTTTAAAATGGCAGCACCAAAACCAAAAGAAACGAATAAAATGAAAACACTACCAACTTCTTTGCCGTATGTATTACATCTCACTTAGGCGGGTTTTCGTATCAGTCGTCAAAAGTATCTAGGACTCTCCCAACTTTCAAAAAGCCAGGACAATGACGGCGAGTTGGGGCGAGGGCGCGGTGGAGAGCACACAGCGCCAAGAGCGGCGGGAGAACTCCGGAATGGGGGGACGGCCTCCCGGGATTGGACCTTGGGACCTGCAACCCCCGGCGGCGGGAAAGCGGGAAGTGAAATGGCCCGGGAGACCCGAGCACTGCCGCCGCGCCCGCCCCGCGCGGACTTGGGCCTTCACATTCTCGGGTTCCGCAGGCACCTTGCACGCAAATGCAGTCGCGCACACCTGTAGTCCTGCACTCTGGCGTCGGGAGAGGAGGAGGGGTTAGAGATCAGCAGCGGGTTGGCGTTCAGAGGGAGAGCTACCAGCTAAGGAAGTTTGAGGAACGAGGGAAGCGCGCGAAGAGAACAGGCCGAGCACTCCCGCCTCTGCCGAGCCCCCGCTCGAAAAGTCTTTGGGATTAGGGATTTGGTCCGCTCTTTGCTAGAGCTGTTCGCCATACTTTAAATTCCCCAGTTATGACCTCCGAGGATTTAGGATTAAAGAAAATGTGACTTTTAAATTGTTTCTACTTCCCAGTTTGCAGGATTATTTGAAATAGCTAGAAACGGGGTGCAAAGCATTCCATTCAAAATCCGCTTTGCGGAGAGTTGCTTTTGCGTGCTGGAGTTCGGAGTTTTGAACGAGTGAGTTATTGTACTGTCGCCTGGAGCTGCGGCCCAGTTCCCGCCCCCTGTCGCACCCCCACCCCGGCAGCTGGCGGATAAGTGGGAACAACTCGCCGGACTGATGAGCTGCGTGGGTCGCAACCTTCCCAGCGCACCAGAGCGAGGGAGAAAACAAGCAATTCAGAGGCAACAAAATTGCTCCCCTCCCTTCCCCCCCAAGAAACGCTCCGACTCACGGTCTGCAAGTTGCTGGGCCAAAGCGCAGGTTCCCGCTGGGCTCCTTCTCCCCGGCTCAGAGCCGCAGCGCCAGGGGCAAGATCTCCCAGGCCACCCCGCCCGCCCGCTCCGGCTGCGCTCCTGGGCCCCGCAGCGGCCAGAGAGGTACCCACTTGTTGATCCGGCCGGCTTGCTCATGCTGGCGGTCCCGGGGCGGAGCGGTTGGTGGGCGCTGCCCGTGTCCCGGCCGGCAGCGCCAGCCTCGCTGCCCTGCGCCGCCGCTCTCCAGCCGCCCTCCAGCCTGCGAGGCTCCCGGGCCGGACAGGTGGGTGTAGGTCGCGCGCACTGCGCTGCTCCCCGGGCGCTCAGAATTCGTTCCACAGTGGAAACGTAAGCATCCTTGAGTTTCTTCCCGGCTCTTGCAAAACTGCAGCTGCTGGGAATGTTGATATGGACACACGCATGGACAGACAGATGGAGAGACGGACAGGCTGGCTGAAGGAAAAGGGAGGAGGACAGCACGAGAGGGGGATTGAAGGACAGAGGTGAAGACGCGAAAATGATCTTCCTACGAAGCGTAAAGGGCAAAATCTCTCGCTCTCGCTATTCCTGTCTCTTAGTCTTCAGTCTCTCCCTTCCATAGGCATCCAGAATGCGGACAGATCTCTGCAGACCGCGGGTCTTGTGAGGAAAGAAGGAAGCGACAAGACCGCAGTCTCAGAGGCCGATTGGCTCCGCGCTGCTGGGAGCGGAGCGCGGAGTGGGACAACTAGATGGCTGGGAAGTCTTCCGAGGGAAGAGGCGGCGAGGTCTCGGTTTCCGGGGAGAACCGCGCACGCAGCGGCAAAGGGTCCCCTAAGTTCATTACCCTGTGACTTTGTGCCTGTCTCTGCGGGCAGGGTCCCGTGTAATATCTCCAGAAGCTCTCTGACAGGCAGCCGCGGGGAGGGGAATAGGGCGTCCCTGGCCCACTTAGCTTTTCCCCCAACTCCTGGCGGGGTCTGACGTCAGCCATGTACTGGGAGGGGATGGGAAGAGGGAGGGGGTTAAATGCTAATGATATTAATGAACCTCCAAGCGGCTCCCAAAGAAAATGCAGGCGCTCTCCGAGCTGACGACTTAGAGAGTACGAATAAGCGAGAGTGGCTCTGAGCGTGCGTGATGGTGAGGACGGAGCCGCTTTTGTAATAAAAATGAATTATTATATTTCATGGCAAAGGGGGGGGGGAGAACGGGCTTTTCTCAAAATGCTTTCCCCTTCTCTCCAGAGAGCCAGACAGATAGATTCGTGGAAGAAACTGGGTGGCTGTGTGTTTGTGTGTGATTGAACGCGCCGGACATAGCCGCGTGAGTTGATTCATTGTTGGTCCCGTGCCCCTTCAGTTGGGTAAAACTTGGATCTGACCCGAGGTGAGTAATGATTCATTTTGCGACTATCTACGGAAAGTTATAACTGAGGACGCTGTGTGCAGACTTGGGACCTGGGCTGGGGGCTGCCGGAGGCTCGTCGTTCCCGCGGCCTTGGCGCGGTCCGCTTTGGGCACCAGCCGCGGGGAGGGCGCTGCCCACTTCTTAAAGCAAAGCCAGCCCATGCGGAGCAGGACGAAGCTCTTGCGGCCTCTGTTATCTGCACTAGACCGGCTGTAGGGCAAAGCTTCCCTCCAGCGGCCCGTCTCCAGTGGCCATAGCTGGCTGCCCCTTCCCGGGCCGAGGGATTCTGGAGAACACCCTCCCGCCAGCCTTCCCGCGATTCTTCTACTGGGCTCTCTCGCGCGGGGGTCCCTGGGCCGCGCTGGGAGAGCGCACGCCGAGGGAGCGGTGATCCCCGATCTCTAAGAGATTAATTGTTTAAGCTCTCCCGGCAGCTTGAACTTGTCGAACAAGAGCTTGCTAGCCTCTCCTCAGGGCTGGGCACGGCCAGGGGTCAGAGGTCACACCTCCAGCTCTCCCGCCCTCCGCGGCGCGTTCTGGCGAAAGAGCGCAGGCGGGCGCTCCGCAATCTCGCCCGCCCAACCGAGGCCTCGCTTTTTCTCCAGACTCGGCCTCACCCCGGGCTTTCGATTCCAGTGTGTGTGTGTGCAAGTGAGTGCTTCAGTTCCCCAGAGCCCTCCTAGGGCGCAGCAGCTCCACAGCTGGAGTCCGAGGGCGAGCAGGCAGCGCGCGCCTGTCCCGGCAGCACGTGACCGCAACTTTGCACCGCAGCCTGGGTCCGGGTCCGCGCACCGCACAGCCCCCAGAGCTGTGGTCCTCCTGATTTCAGCATCGCGACCACGGCTAGGGGGCGGGAGACTCTGGGTCCACCAAGAAGCGGAACGACTATCTCCCATTACCCTCCGCCCGCCGATTTTTCGCGTTGACTCAGTTAAGGAATTGTGGGACAAAGTCGTAAACCTGAGGGTTTTTTTAGGTAACGGGACAAGAAATCAACATTTTTGACAGCCTAGATGGTAGATTCGGACGCATTGAGCCCGGCCCGCGCTGTAGCGCAAACTCGAACTCCGCGCCCAAAAAAAGAAGGGATTTCCGGGTGGGATTTTGAGAAACACAGTTACAGTGCCAGGATCTGTTTTGAAACTTTGAGTTCTGGCTCTGGCCAGAAATCCACTTTCCTCCACCACCACCACCACGGCCGAAGATGGGGACGGGAAGGGGGGCGCTTGATTAAGCACAAGGAATTTCAAGAGTTGAAGTAATTTATCTCGGCCTGAATCGGGGACTAGACCTGGGCCTCTCTCCAGGGAAAGTTTAGGGAGTCTTTGGCAAGGCGGGAGGTTGGAGATAGGAGAGCTACGGCTCCTCTGGGCTCCAAACTACTCCTGCCCCATACTCTCCAACATTCCCGCCCCACTGACTCGTTTGTAGGCACAAAAACTTATGGAAAATTCTCCTGAGGGTCATCAAATTGTCTCAGAATCAAAATGGGAATGTTCCCTCTTGATCCTGTCACCAGCCCCTAATCAAGAAGTCCACTGAGTACATACATACGAGCGCGCGCGCGCGCACACACACACACACACACGCACACGCACACGCACACGCACACGCACCATCCAGCTCTGGCAAAAGGCACAACACGCGAGCGCCCACAGCGCACACACACACAGCATGTGCGTCCTGTGTTCCCGGCTGTAATTATCAGCGCGCTTTGCATAAATCACAGTGCAGTTTTGAAATCATCGGGATGACTTTCTGGCATGATTGGTTAGGTGGCAACAGCAGCGATAAGCCGGTAGGCAGGAGGGGCTGGAGCGTGGTTGCCCACCAAGTCCAGCAGGAGCCTGGAGCCCAGTGCCCTCTGGCTTCTGCCCATGCAAAGCTTCTGCAGGCCACAGGGGCCTCAGACCTGAGGTGTAGAAACTTGGGGCTTTCGTGGGCTGCTCAGAGAAGAAAGTATGTCAAGGGTAAGGTCTGTGAGTTTTCGTCTTCCTATCCACGGCCCCCAGACACTGCCTGGCTCACAGTAGGTGCTGAATAAATGTTGGGCAAAGGAATGAAGGAGCGAAGTCGCCTACAGATTTCCTGGGAGGCCTCTGAAAGCACAGCTAACCACTGAAGAGCCAGGAGGTGGGGGTGAGCCAAGTCTACCCCCAGCTAGCTGTGTAACCTTGGGCAAGTGATTAGACTTTTCTAGGCTCTGGATTGTTATCTATAAAAGACTAGGTCCTTATCAAAATTACCTTTCAAAGATTTCTTTTCCTGTGAGTCTACTAAGGGAAATGATTGATAAAGAGCAAATGCCACCTATCTCAGAAATACCTTTTAGCAGAGACAAGACCTTAAGCTACAGGGTAAGTTTATAGCATTGACTGGCAGGAGAAGGGAGGCAGAGGGCAGAGTCATACCCCAGAGCCTTCTGACCAGGTCCAAACATAGCTCATAACTTCCTCTCTAGCCTCTTGTGAGTATTGAGCTCTCAACCAAAGCCAAAGCCAAAATCATAGGGAAGGTATCTTTTATCACAGAATGTTTACATTTTGGTCCCGGAGATAAGAAAGAAGACCACAGGCAGTAGCATAGGATCAAGGGGCCTCTGTCTATCCATCAATCCATGCATTCATCAAATACTGAGCACCTACTATGTGCCAGACCCTGAGGATATAGGAGATTAATGACATGGCCCTTTTCTCAAGGAGTCTAAGGGCGATAAGTGCCCTGATTGGGGTTATCAGGAAACTCTTAAAAAAATATACAAGGGACCCTAAATCTGTGTGGAGTGGGATGGGGTGTTGGGAAATGCCCTGAAAGCTGGCCTGGTGTTAAGGGAATCTACTACCTCTGGGAACTGTCTAGTATTATAGCTCACTCTCCTGCTAATGTCCCTTCCCATCAGTTTAAGAAGGGAAGTAGAATCCTGTTAGCTAGGTTGTATGAGAAAGATAGTAGTTCACGACACTCTTCTAGCATCAGACAATCTGGGTTTGACCCCTAGCTCTAAAAATGGTGCCATTTTTTCCATTAACCACCACCTCCCCTTCCTCAATTCTTCTAAATTAAAACACCAATGGAGAAAGGAAAGGCCTCCCCATCAGCAAGCAGAGCTGATGAACAGAGATACAGAGATGAACAGAGATGATGAACAGAGATACACCTCCTCCCCAACCTGGTGATTAACCCCCTCTCAGAGGCCATTTTACCTCTAGAGATTCATTCCTTTGAAATGTCCTTTGCCTCACTGGTATGCAGAGTTGAGAAATACCCAGACCCGAGAAATATTCAGGTTGGAAAAGCCTCCCCGTTGAGTTGAGCTTGACAGAGGTTTGATGTGCAATCTCAAAAGACATTCAGACACAAGTATTATTATTGTTGTTTGTTTACATGAAGGATAAAGTTGGTTTTTGTTTGCTTTCAAGTCATAATGCAACCAATGGTTCTTGCTTGCCCAATGGATGTAAGCGATGGAGCAAAGTATCTAGTACATAGTAGGAGTCAAGTAAGGGCTCGCTAAGTGACAGAACAAAAGAAACAGTGTTGTCAGGCTTGTTCCACATTCTGCTGTGGGCACCTTTACAAGTTGTTTGGCTCCTATATAACTCTGCTCAGAAAAGTAACACTGGAAACAATCCAGAAAAGAGACTCAGGTGCTCCAGAACCCAATGGACACTGAGTTGTGGAGTTTTTTCTTGACACTTTCTGGGAGTACGTTGGCTAAGAGTTGCCTGTTACTCCCCACCAGTGGATAGATGAATACTGCTAACAGCAACAGCAATAAGACAGTGCTCTGTGTGAGAAACTTCTTTTGTTTTTTAAACAACTAACAAATCATATCTCCGCATTTATTCATACGCTTGTTGGTTTGTGGCCACGTCAGCAGAAGGAATTAAGTTCTAGGATCAGGCTAAAGCTTAGAGGCTTTAGAGTTCCACTGTATCTTAATATTCTTCTTGCCCCAAGAGTAATCAGATAGAAACATCTTTCTCCCTATCACTTACTCTATCTCCTACATAACATATTTTATTTATTTATACCTTGCCTTGTTCCAGGAAGAAATTACCATGGCTGTCATGACAAATTGTTTTAATTTGGGACCTGATCACTCACCTGAGGTGTATTTAAAGCAAAAGCAACTGGAGATGTTACCAGGAACAAGGGAACAAGAAAATAATGCTGTCCCCTTCTCTTCCCTTAGGAAGAGGTGTCAATAGAGACAAGGCTGTCTATTTCTTATTTCCTTAGTGGTAAGAGTAAAGAGTTCAGAAGAGACATAAGGGCTACTCAGCTCTCTAGATAAGGAGCTCCTAGAGGGCAGAGAAAGTTCTATTCATCTTTGGATGGCCAGCCCCTAGCACTCTGGCACATCCAAATCCATTGCCGTGGAGTTGATTCCGACTCATAGCAACCCTATACGACAGAATAGAACTGCCTCACAGGGTTTCCAAAGCTGTAATCTTTGCAGAAGCAGACTGCCACATCTTTCTCCC